GGCTTCTGGTCCTCCTTCCCGCCGGCCGCCTGGTCCGTGATGGAGGAGAAGGACAGCTGGTCGTGCTCCATGATGTGCACCTGGTCCTCGTCCTTGTCCTTCTTCACGTAGAACATCTTGCGGAACTTCTTCAGCTCGTGCAGCTCGCAGAAGGTTTCCAGCACCACCAGCATGGCCACCAGGCCGAGCAGCAGGTAACCTGCGCGACAAACCCGCGTCTCAGTGGGACCCCGTCACGGGCAGATCAAGCCAGGACCCCAGGTGTGTCCGTTCATGAATCAAGTCATCGCCACTGCTCCGATTTCGAGGCACCCCTGGACTCCCACGGCTCAAAGGGAGGGGGACCCAGCCCGGCCGGCGTGGCTCAGTGGTTGAGCATCGACCTATGAACCAGGAGGTCACGGTTCGATTCCCGGTCAGGGCACAGGCCCGGGTTACGGGCTCCATCCCCAGTGTGGGGCGTGCAGGAGGCGGCTGATCCATGATCCTCTCTCATCATTGATGTTTCTCTCTCTCTCTCTCTCTCTCTCTCTCCCTCCCTGTCCCTTCCTCTCTGGAATTAATAAAAACATATTTTAATAAGGACACCTATGTAATATCTTAATAAAAAAATATATATTAAAAAAATACTGAATCACTGTATTTCACACCTGAAACTAATATAATGTTGTATACCAGCTACATTAAATTAAAAACAAATAAAAAGGGAAAAATACATTTAGGTAAAATATCTATTGCTAACTGATAATTATTTTGCTTTGGGGTCATGGATATCTGGATTTCAATCACTAATAAAACTTGTCATGTTATTTTTTCTTACACACAAAAAAACAAAAACAAAGATATTTTAAAAAATAAATAAAATAAAAATAATTATGGTCACTAGAGGAAATATGAAATCTCCTTGTAACTACTTGGTACGTATTTACGGAACTGAGAAATGCGAACGCGCACGTGGTTGTGTCAGGTTAGGCCGACGAGCCGGGGCCAGGTAGGGCAGCTGCCTGCAGACTCGACGCCGTGGCCAGGGCTGGATGGAGCCTGGCAACGTCCTTGATGAGGCCGAAAGGAAAAGCGCACGGACATTCCGATGCGACTCCAGGGTTCCCTAAAACTGGGTTTCCCAGCTTCCCAGGGGATCGCATGGAATTTGTAACAACTGCTTAAAAATGATCGGTCACTGGCCACCTGAAACGGATTGCCTACGTTCCACACGTAACATTCTGAGAATGGTTAGCACGGTCTCCGTGTCAAAGGAGAAGCAGGTGGCCAATAAGATAAGCAACTGTTTTAAGAAGTTTCTGGTACATTACAGAGCATGGCTGCCTGCACCCGGCTGCAATCCTGGGACTTGTTTGCAGAGCAACATTTTTCAATTAAAAGTTGGTTCTCAAGTACATTCTGTGGCACATTTTTACACGGTAATTTATAATGTCTATTACGAGTAAGAAATTGACCTGTCCTTTTATTTTTTTAATTATATTTTCATTGATTTCAGAGAGGAAGGGAGAGGGAGAGACAGAAACATCAATGATGAGAGAGAATCATCGATCCGCTGCCTCCTGCACGCCCCACACAGGGGATCGAGCCCGGAACCAGGGCATGTGCCCTGACTGGGAATCGAACCGTGACCTCCTGGTTCATAGGTTAATGCTCTACCACTGAGCCACGTCAGCTGGGCCTTGATCTGTACGTTTAAGGTGCTTGGGAAAAATGACTCTCAGAAATAATAAGAATTTTACATAAAGCCTTCTGGAAGGGAATCCTGATCCAATGAAACAGTGATAGCGAAATTGAAAATTTATCAGTGAGAGCCCAGCTGGTGAGGCTCCGTTGTTGAGCGTCGACGTATGAACCAGGAGGTCGCGGTTCTATTCCAAGTCAGGGCACATGTCTGGGTTTCGGGCTCGATCCCCAGTAGGGGGCATGCAGGAGGCAGCCGGTCCATGGTTCTCTCTCATCATTGATGTTTTTCTCTCTCCCTCCCTCTCCCTTCCTCTCTAAAATCAATAAAATATATATATATCCCTGGCCGGCGTGGCTCAGTGGATAGAGCATCAGCCTGCAGATTGAAGGGTCCCAGGTTCGATTCCGGCCAAGGGCACATGCCTGGGTTGCAGGCTTGATCCCCATTGGGGGGCGTGCAGGAGGCAGCCAATCAATGGTTCTCTCTCATCATTGATGTTTCTATCTCTCTCTCCTTCTCCCTTCCTCTCTGAAATCAATAAAGAAATATATTTAAAAAATATATATAGCCCTAGCCGGTTTGGCTCAGTGGATAGAGCGTCGGCCTGCAGACTGAAGGGTCCCAGGTTCGATTCC